GGACACATGGTGAGGTGATAGTGGCATCACCCACAGAGGGACCACCATGACTGGGGACACCCCTGCCAAAGCGAGTGTTCATCACCTGCCCATATCCGCTGCTCCAGGAGGATTTTCCAAGGAGGGGTTTCTCCTGGAAGCAATAAAACTATCACAAGGCATTGGATAGTGTTTGCCAAGCACTGGTGTTGGGAGCAACAATATGTCCAGTACTGGAGAACTGTCGCCTGGATGGTTTCTTTCAGTCCACTGAAACAGCAGTGTTCGCAAAGTTGCTTTGGTTTTCCTCAAATTTCATATGTGGGAAAAAAATAAAGGAAAAAAAAAAACCAAAAAAAGAAAAGAGTTTGGCCACGTCAAAGCTGGCTGATGGGGTCCTTCATAATGAAACAACTGTGTTTGGCTTTGCTTGAGGCTTGTATTAGATTATCTGTTACAATCAGACATGAAATAAAGACCATTAAACAGCTATGAAATATTTTGACTGAACCAGTATGTTGTTTTTTTCTTCCCAAACTGATCTTTATGGACAAGATGAGGGTTTAGTTCTGGCTCAGATCAAAGCCAAATGCCTTCCTGAGGACTTGGAGTTGTCTGCCATATCCTGACCACGACCCAATCCTGCAGTTGGGGACAGGCTTCTCTGGGGTGAATTTGCAGGCTGGAGGTTTGGGCTGTCACACATCCACAGCATGGCCCTGAATGATGGCATGTCACCTCCTGGGACTGCATGTCCTTCCCTGTTTGTTGGTGCTTTATGGCTCCATGGGGTAATTCACATATGAGCTGGTGACTGTGCTGGGGTTTGTGACCACTGGGTGTGAGAAACAGAGAAACTCCCTAGGGATGTAGAATTATCTCAGTCCAACTTTGGATAAAACTGAGACCTCTGGAAGTTGCTGCCAGCCTGCAGGTGGGCACTTTGGGGAAGGCTTCTCTCTGCACCATGTGTTTGTGCAGGGACCTGATTTCCAGCTGGCAGGACAGGCATCCTGACAGCAGGCTGGTGGCTGGGCAGGGCTCAGGCTGTCTCACACCTTTCAACCATCCCTTCCATCCTGGAAGGGGGAAACCTTCCCAGAGACTGTATGACGCCTTCTCAGGAAGCCATCCAAGTCCCTGTTGGCTGTGTCCCCTTGGCCAGGCTGCAGGAGGAGACCTGAGCATGGTCCCTGATTGCTTTTGGCAGGGCGTAGGGAGCATGCTGCTCTCTCCCAGCACTTAGCAGCTTCCCTGGGAACCACGCAGGAAAGGAGGAGAGGAGCCCAGACTTGTGGGAGACACTTTTCATTTCATGCCTAAGCCACTACTCTGCTGCTCAGCCACATGGCTCCATTAAGTCCCTTTCTGGCTGTCTTCTTTCCATCAATCACTCCGTCTCCGCGAGCAACCCAGACACCGGATCTGGGTTATAAATAAGACAATCAATCAGCGATGCTATTAGATAAACAGAGTGGCAGAAGCCAAATTAATGCTTGGCTTTTTCTTGAAAGGGAGGAAAAAAGGAGTCAATTGCTTATTAGAGGACCCTGGTGTGGTCTGGTCTCCACGCTGCAGCTGAGCCGGGTGGGCTGTGCTTGGCTGCAGTGTCTGCGTGTGGGGAGGTTTGGGATGCTGTGAGCACATTATCCATGTGGGTCACCCTGGCCACATCAGGGAGGGGGCTGGGGCAGACGGGAGGCGAGCAGAGAGGTTGTAGCACTGGGGCAGTGATGGGAGATGGGAAAACAGTGATGGGAGCTGCCCATCTGGGCAGTGAGGAGGTTTCAGGGCGGGTCTGGTGGGGAGGGAGGGCATGAGGCTGCAGGCAGAAGTGTGTGGGGACTGGGGACACAATGCCAGAACAGACATTGAGCCAGTCAGGATGGACACAAAGAAGAAAAGCATCACTGCTTGGAGGCTTTTCAAACAACAGGCAGTTTCTTCTGGAGGTGAATCAAGTCCTTGTCTGGAGCCACCAACAAATAAGATGGTCCAAGATTGTAATTTGTGGTTTGCTGTGACGATCTGTCACCCCTTGTTGCTACAATCATCTGCCCTACAGCATTGTGAAGGTGCCCAAGGCTGTTTTTACCTCCAAGGTCTGCACCTGCAGCTCCATCTGCTTTATGTGTGGTGGTGGCTGATTACCTCAAAGCTCCTGGGCTCATTCCTGCACCAAAGACGTCAGAGGAGAGGCTTTCCTCATGGTAGGATCTTGTTGCCTGAGCTACCCCTCCTGCCACTGGGGAAGAAAGCCTTGGGAGGAAGGCTATAATCTGCCAGAGGCATCCAGTGCCCAGGAGACATAAGCTCTGTACAGGAGCTTTTTCTGAATGAATACTCCATGCTTTGGGCTGGGCTCTTGTATTTGCTGGACTTGATGCTACTGCAGGTTGAGGAATGGGGGAGTCTGTGCTTCTCCAAGTGAAGCTGACTTTGTTTACAATCTCATCCCTCACAGACGCTGCTCTTCAAGCTTTTATCCCAGGGACTGCCTTTCCACCAGCTCCTGCTTCTTTCACCTCCACCTGACACTTCTCCCATTTGCTGTGATGGAGGAGGGTACCTGCCCCTGGAGGACCAGGTCTGCCACTGTGCAAATAAGGAGCAGCTCTCCTCTGCCAACTGACTCAAAAATCCCACGTGGAATTTCCACCCAGCCCAGCAAGCTCTCAGCTCGGGTCTGGCAGTGCAGCTATGGGTGTGCTTTCTCAACAGCTGAGCCTGCTTTCATTCCCCATTTTCACCTGTGACTGTGCCAGACTGAAGCTCTGCCAGAGCTGAAACGCACAACACAGTACCCACTGCTCCTCCTTCCTCCACCAAAGCATGTCACCCCATCACAGGCTGCACAACACATTCCTCTCAGCCTAATTTGGGATAAATAAACTTGTTATTCCCTGGGAGACCCAGGCTTGCTGGTGCAGGTAGCACCAGCAGGTAGGTTTTCTGACTATTGGGTTAGGGAGAATGAGGTCTCTGCTAGCACCCACTTAAGGGAAGGATGCAGGAGGTGCAGTCACTCGATCCCATTCCACTCGCTCAAGCGTGGGGAGTTCCTGCTTCCTCCAAGGCTTCAAGTCCAGGAAATAGCTCCTGCTTTCCAGTCACACTTCTGATCCCTCTTGCAGAGCTTGGGGAGCTCCGTGCAAGGCTGCTCTCACATCAGCAACAGCCCAAAACAACACCTAAGGTGGGATTTACTGCCACATATGTGCTGGGAAGATGCAGGGACCCATTGCACCCGGGTGATGTATTGGATTTCAGGTTATGTGATGCACAGGTTTCTCTGAGCATTGTAATTCCCTCTTTCTTCCTGTATGGATTTATACTGCTAAGTGGATGGATTTTCTGCTTGGCAGGGATGCTCCCCTGGGACCTTCCCCAGTTTGAAACATCTCAGCACATCTGCACATAATATTCCTGGGGCACTTAATGAGTGGGCTTTTACGACACCCCTTGCTTTATAGACTGCTGCTTAACGTGGCCAGGAACCACGGAAGGGCTGACAAACAGCATCCTAGAGCTGGCAGAAAGCCGAGTACCAACTCCAGGTGCTGGATGATGCCTTGGGCTCTGTGTGAAAGCCACTGCTCTCAGATGGCTTCTCACACAGCTGCCCTGAGCAGTGGAAGCACCACTCCCTTGGTCCCTAAAATAGCTTGAGAGGAACAGGTTTCTTCTGCTTAATAACCTGAGACAGCATGCCTCTGGACCAGCTATGGAAATCCTGGGAGGAGATGAAGGTGATCTGTCTGTCTGGGATGATTCCCCCTAGCAAGGGCTGGGCCTGACATTTTCATCTCTGCTAAGAGCTGTCCCTTCCCCCTGCCCCAAAGAGCCATCTGCTATGGTAGATTACCCCAGCTTTTAGCACTGTGAATCCATAATTAGTGCATAATTAATTACCAGATGTTTTTAACACTAATGAAACATTAATAAATGACGGAGGCATGTTGTCTGGTAATGGAACATTAACCAGTGAACCAAGTCAGTGCTGCCGCCAGCATGGCCAAGCCAGAGACAGGTTTGCATCTGACTGAGCTCTTCCCTAAATAAAGCTCCAACATTGTTCAAATCACAGCAAGTGTCTGGTGGGAGCAAGTGACCAGCTTGGTGCTGCCTTCAGGCTTTGCAGAGCCAAGGCTGTGGCTAGTTCATGTCCATCCTTCCTTCCTTCCTTCCATCCACTCACCCATCCATCCACCCCATTCATGTGTGCATCCTTCCAGCCAGCCAGCCAGGCACACAATCTCCCTGCTGTAGAGACTTAGTTGGGGCACCAGAGAGGTAATTTTCTAAAAAGTGGAGCTTTTCCCCCTGGGCATTTCTTGATGGCACCCCTGCTCCAAGTTTTGGCAAGGCACGTGGGGAAAGAACAGACTCCAGCAATGTACTTTGCTGCATCCATTGCCCCCCACGCTGGGTCCCTGTGAGCCCTGCCCTGACAGAAGTTTAATTCAGAGCATCTGGGCCAGTGACATTTCCTAACATGAAATTATTAATCAGACATGGGAAGTGCATTAGCTGTGACTACATGCCACCTCCCGGCTGCCGTGGGGCACAGGCAGGTCTCCATCCTCCTGCCTGCCCGAGAGATGTCAGGGCGCAGCCAGAGCCTGGGCACGCAAGGGACCCTCCAGGGCCAGTGAAGGGGGAGGTGTGGCACTTCCCCATCACAGCAGATGTGTCACGGGGTGGTGACAAACACCTCCTTTCCCTCACCAGGAGTCTCCAGGCTGGGCATCTGCCTTGCACCTTCTCAGGATGTCCCAAATGCCAGATTTTGTGTCTCCCACCCCTCTGGGAGGATGGTGCTATGGTCTCAAACACTCCAGGGTGTGTGTGTGTCCACTCAATGCTGTTCCCGTGTCTTCCCCAACTCAGCCAGCACCATGCACAGAAGAAGGCAGCCAAAACGCCCCTCTCCAGATGGAAGGGAAATGACACCCAGAGCCATCAGTCATCATGAAATGAACATTTAATGAAGACAGTCTCTCCTGGTGTATGTGTGTGTGTATGTGTGTGTGTGTGTGTGTGTGTGTGTGTGTGTGTGTGTGCGTGTGTGCGTTGTCTCTGTGAGCTTAGTTTTATCCCCTCTATTACTTTTTTTTTTTATTATTTTTCTTTTTTTTTATATATATACATCTATAAAAAATTCAAATACAGCATGTCAACAGTGGGAATACTAGGACGTATGGTATTAAATACTGCGCTTGGGTCCAGGCAGGGCCAAGAGAAGGTGTCTTTACAAAACAGGACATTGGGCAGGATGGGGAGGAGAGCAGAGCAGGCATGGGGACAGCTGGGGACAGCCAGGGACAGCAGGGGACAGCGGGGCGCAGGTCTGCAGGGCTCCAGCTCTGAAGGCAACAGCAGAGCTATTCTGCTTTTGTTGGAGAATGATACAAAGACATCAATGGGGGTGATTCCCTGTATCCAACATGGTTAAAAGTTTGGGGGTGATGTTGGGTCGGGGTTGGGGGTGGCGAAGGCTCCTGCAGGGTGCTGTGGAGGGGGAGGTGGAGGGACAGCTCTCCCAGATGCGCGGCAAGGGGCAGGGGGGTTTTATCGGTGTTTCACTTTCTTTTTTAAAATTCCATTAAAACCCCGCCAGCTCCCTGCTCCCCATCGCACTTGTGAAAGCCACCAGCTCCCCCCTCCACCACCCCCTCGGAGGGGACCAAGACCCCCGCCCACTCCCCCGCCCCGATCCGTGCACCCCTCCAGCTTCGCCACGCGGTCGAGAGCTCAGGGGAGCGAGTCCAGTCCTTGGGGGACCCCCTTTTGCCATAAGGGGGTGCACAGCTTGGAGCATCATTCCCCTCACCACCCCCCCGTTTTCATATCCCCTTTTCTCGGTGCGCGGCCGCGGGGGCGGCGGGCACGTCTTTGGCGTGGGGGGGTTTGGCTGCAAGAGCGGGACCCCCGGCTGCGGCGGGCCGGGCTCGCTCCACTCGGCTGAGGAAAGGGGCACGGACATGGGTCTCCTCGCTCCGGGCCGGGAGAGGATTTTGCGGCTCCCGCGGGGGACGGCAGCAGCTCTGTCCTCCTCCGAGGTGGCGGCGAGAAGCGTGGCGCGTCCTCAGTGTGTGCAAAATCGAAGAGCTAAGAGACTCAACCCGGGAGCGGGGCGGGGGCGGGGGCGGTGGGCGGTGGGCGGTGGGGAGGCGACTGCGCTGGGCTGCGGTGGGTGGACAGATGGAGATCTGCAAGCGGGGAGAAGGGTCAGGGTGTCGCTCCAGACTCAGCTCTGCTCACTCACCGGTGGGACACACCCAGCAGAATTTCCTTCCCCCCTCTTTCCCGGCCTTTTTTTCCGCAGGGGAAATTCACTCAGGTACCCAAACACATCATTTCCACCTCCTCCTCACAGGGCTGGGGCCTGCCCACCCTCACCTGGCTGCATGCCACCACCTCTGTTGGTGTCACACGTGAGATGTCACTGTCAGAGGGGAGCAAAGAAGCCCGTGACCACGAGGGGCTTATCTTTGGGCACCAAAGGATGGCTGGCTTATCCTTTATCTCCCAAAAGTGACACACGTGGCTGCTACCAGGATCCATCTCTGTCCTTGGGCAGTATGGGGACAATGAAAGGGCATTAGGGTCTGTCACCTGAGACAGCAGCCCTGGTCTGTAGAGGAGAGGGGCATTTTGTGGCTCTCTGGGCTGCCAGCTCCATCCTAAGCCAAATAAAGGACATTTTTGAGATGCAATCTGAATTTTTTGATCTCGGACAATTTTTCTTTCATCATTAAGCAAAGGCCTTAGATTTCCATGTGGTTTCTTTGCCTCTTAAAAATGTCAGCAGAGAGAATGGGAGAGGGCTGCTGAGAACAAGACGTCAAAGACTGACCACTTTGCCAGCTTTGCTTGAAAAGCCATTTTTGAGACCTTCAGCTGAATATCCATCTGGAAAAGCAGTCAGACTTGGTGCATTTAAAAAAACTGCAAAAAAACCCCAAATGACTTGTTCCCAATGCCCTCCACCCACAGTCTGGCCAGAGCATCCCCTTCCCAGCCCCATTAGAGTGTCCCCATATCCCTGCCCCATCCCAGCACCCACCTCCTGCCTCTTATGCCTCAGATTTGGGAGATACTCACTAAATAAAGAGGACACTATAGGCAGCCATGACCAGTCCAGCTGTCCAACACACTGCCATGGCCCCGCTGCCCACCATGGCCCCCTTGTCACAGATCTTGGTTGTGGGTGGTGCCATGAAAGAGGAGGTGCTAGCGCTTGTTGTCTCTGCAAGAAAGGAGAGTGGATGGTGAGAGAGCTGGATGCCCTGGGATTCATCCCACAGGGGCAGCCCTGCTTTCCTGCTGGTGTGGCTTGGACCTGGCCCCAAATTGCCCTTTTCAGTGCTATACCACACGAGGGCTGAGGTAGAGGGCTGGGGTGATTCAAGGGATGGTGTGATCCATGAGACTTCCCTGGCTGTTACAGTGGACCTACTGCTCAGAGATGCTTCTGCCATCAGGCAGAGCTGGGCATCCTTCTCATCCCCATCCTGACCAGCTGAGCCACTCTATGTACCAAGTCCATGGGAATTTTAGCTAGGAAGCCACAATGAGCCACTAGTGCTCAGCCAAGAGCATCCCACACCCACAGAACACGCCACACACAGAAGGCTGCATCTGCTGGGCTAGCTCACAAGGTTTGTCCTGAACCAGATGGATTGTCTATGCCTGCAGAGGGCTGCAGGATTGCAGGGAGTGCATGGATGAGCAGTCAGCAGGTGGGGGCAGCTTTGGCCACGTCTGGATGACCCCAGCATGTCCCTGGCCAGACTGCCTGGGCTGATTGCTGGGGACCACAGAGTCTGTCTCAGCATCTGTCAGACTCCATTGAGATGTCACAGTGGGGCTCAGCGTTGGAGTTGGGGTGTCCCACATCAGCCCTGCCTGGCTGCACCAGGCTGTGTGTGCAGGGGTGTGTGTGTGAGGGACACACGTGTGCCTGCACAGGGAGTGGGCCAGTGACACTGAGGGGCATTTGCATTTAGCACAATGCAGGTGGGAATAGAAGCAAAACCAAAACACTGACAGTAGCGCTGCTGCAAAGTGTTCCTGCTCTCCTTGTGAGGGTTTATCCACCTGGGAATGGTGGGGAGGTCTGCAAATCCCTGCTGCTGCCTGAATATCCAGGTGCTCTACCAGGTGCTGTTTTGAAAAGGGGAGTTTCTCTGCACAGGAGTCAATGAAACCAGTGCAGGGTCTGCTTCATCCTTTCTGGGAAACAGAGGGCTGATTTGGACACAGTCCCAGCTCCTTCCTAGAAGCAGAGACTTGGTGTTAACTTGGTGGCTTTTATTTTGAATTGGCATCTCTTTGAGCCATTGTGAAGGGTCAGAGGTGTGGAGGGGGTAGGACTGGAGAGGGGAGGGAGGGCTAGAGGGAGGCAGCACTCCAGGGAACAACAACCACAACGACAACCACAACCACAACCACAACCACAACAACAACAACAACAATAATACAATGGCCAGCCTCATTGTCCTGCCCCAAGTATCCTGGTGAGAAGGATGCTGGACCAAGGTGAGCTGAGTCAGCATCCTTCAGGCCATGGTTGCACCTGCTGACAGGGCCACAGGTGGGGGAAAAGTGCAGGGTGAAGGGCTGCAGCTCCACGAGTTTTTTTGGGCTATCCTTGGCTGTGGGCAAAACTTGCATGGAGCCAAAGAGGAGATCCCTCAGCCCGGAGCCCTGGGTTCCTCCTGAATGAAGCCTGTTTGTACTGGGAGGAGGCTCTTACCTGTGATCTGGGCCTCCGTGGTGAGATGCTTGGGCTCCTCTGTCCAGGGGGTGGCATGAACAGCCACGCTCCAGTCGCTCCACGTGCCGATGTCGTTGTCTTTGGCTGCCACCTGGATGATGTATTCCTTGCCAGCGTACGCGTCCGTGATGGTGTGCGATGTCCCATCCGACAGCTCGACCTGAGGGCAGCAGAGGGGAGAGGAGGGTAGTCAGAGGAGTCCCCAGGAGGTGTAAGGCAATTTAGCTCTGCTAAAAGATGATAACAAGGCTTTTGCAGCACTTTTAGAAATACTGAAGTGTTGTCGGCAGAGGCACAAGACCAGGACGGGAAGGGAAGTGGAGGGAGATGCTCCAGCTGCAGCTCCACTAAAAGTTTAAAGACCTGGTTCCATTCCCAGACTCACGGCGTCAGAGTGGAGCAGCTTCCTCTAGAGGTCACCAGAAACTAGCAGATGTGTGTGCGGGCTCCCTCGGACATGTTAGGGCAGCTGGGAGCTGGATATTGCAGGCAGTGGCTGGGATGTGCTTTCAGGGCACCACTGTCGGTGCTGGGAGAATGCTTTCCCACCAGCAACACCTCTGGCCAGCCTGCTCCCGTGCCTGCTGGCATCCCATAGTTTTGGCTTGCGTCCCTCCAGCTGGGCCCTTGGACAAGCATCAAGCTGTGTCCAGACATCTTTCCTAGAAACCATTCCCTCTGTCCCATTGTCACTGCTGAGCTGTAGAAGACCCTGCTGTTCCTTGTGCTGCAAAGTGCAATGGTTTAACCCCATTTAACCTTCCAAGGGATCTCTGAGCCATTTGGAGCTTGGCTCCAGGACAGAGGGATGCAGGTGCTCAGCAGAAATGCACCCCAATGGCACGGATCCCGGTGAGCAAACACATGTGGCTGAGAGAGGGGGAGGCTCAGCATCCAAGCGAGCAGGGCAGGAATATCTGGAGAGGCTAAGGGGAATATTGCCCTCCAGCCCATCTCCGAGACTGAGGACCAGCATGCTGCCCACCTGAGTACCCCCTGGTGCTGCTGTGCGTGGTTTGGGGGGCACACAGGCCACCCCCTGCCCAGACACATTTCTAATAAAGGTGCCACAGGATGAGGGGTGGTGCGGGACTGACACAGCCCATCTGTGAGCACCAGTGCCCAGCCAGGGGCTCCAGCAGGGCAAGCATCACATCATGGGTGGGGGCAGTTTCACGGTGCTACATGTGTGGGGTCCTCCACATCTCCCAAGCCAGCCAGGAGAAGGTCAGGGACAGAATCACCCTGTCCTGGGGAGCACCAACAGCTCAATGTCAGGAGGAAGATCTAAACTTCTGCCTAGTCAGGAAGGGAGGAGGGGAGGAAGGGAGGAAGGAAGGGAGGGCTGCACCATTGGGGTGCCCAGGAGGTATCTGGGCCACTGTACCTGTGCGACGAGGCAGCCCTGGCAGTGTGGCTGTACACACATAAGGGATGATGTGCACACCAGATGGTCAGTGCCATCACCCCACAGCTCGCAAGAGTACCTTAAAGGCACGAAAGAGATCCCACCCTGAGAAAGAACCAGCCCTTTTCCAGTCCCTTCTGTGCAGCACATGCGACAGCCCAGCACAGATGGGCAAAGGGATGCAATTCCTTTGGCATGAAAGCTGCAGCCCCCTCCAGGCTTTTACTGTCACTCTGGGGGATTCCTAACAGAACGAGGGGCATTTTTGCTTTCTTGCTCCAAGTGAAAGCCTTTCCTTTCCTATTCCCACTTCCAGCCTTCTGCCCTGAACATCAGAGCCCTTGGGTTCTACACTCCCAGCTGCTCCTGCTGCCCGACCTGAGCCCCACATCTGGAGCACATCTGGATGCAGGCCTGACTGGTCTCCCCCACAGCCACTGGGAGCCCAGGCACCTCAGGGTGGGTAGGCAGGACACCCACCAGGTTGTGGATCATCTGGTCTGCTAGGCAGGGCACCTCCCTACAGCGTAGTGGCACAGTGAGGCTCTCTCTGCCACCCAGACTTTGGGAGCTCTTTGGTGGCACCCACCAGTGTGGATGGCAATGCCAAGGGAATCAAGTTAAATTAATTCCTAATGATGATTAAATGAAATGAAACCTCAGAGGGTGAGCTACCAACACCCTGCTGACTTGACTTGCTCTGTGCTGGGATACAGCTTGGAATTGGAGAATGAGGACAGGGCTCTGAAAGATGCTGGGCTTATCCAGCTGGTGTATGACTGTCCAAGACTTCCAGCATGCTCTGACCCCCCTGGCTCCTCCCTGAGACCTGCACCAAGCAGGCTGCAGGCAGGCCAGCCCTACTAAGGTCCTGATGACCTGCCCAGGCTGCTTTCCCATCAGGATCATTTTCCCCAACCCAAGATCCCTCCCAGCTTTCCCTTGGGAGCAATTCCTGCCTCTTTCCACCCACAACCAACCAGCAGCTGAGTGTTTGTAGGTGGGGTGTCACAAGCACAAAGGGGTTAAATCTGTGCCTTGCCTGGGCAGGGGGAGTGTCCCCCCAGGACCCAGACCTTCCTTGTAGGACCTGGGAGGTTGTTGCCCTAAGCTCTGCTTTACACAGCAGTTAAAAAGAGAAATCATGGATGTTATCATCCATCTCTCCCCACACAAACAGCTTCTGGATACATAACTTCTGAGCTGGGCAGCCATGGATACATCCAGCATTTTTCATGGTGGGGAGAAAGCCCCTGGGTGGGTGCCCGTGACCCAACACAGAAGTTCCCCAATAAAGGGGAAAGCACACCCGGATTGGGTCCAATTGGACACAGACAGGGAGAGACAGAACTAGGGGAAGACACACTGGGGAGGCTGTGGGGGCACGGGTGGACACACAGCATCAAAGGCAGAGGGAGAAATTCCTTAATCCATGTCCTCGCCACACAGAGACAAAAGTTGGAGGAAGGCTGTGCATGGTAATGTTTTTGGCCAGGGTGGGGGTTTGTGTGTCACTGCCTGCCTTTGTGCACCTGCCAAAAGTCACTCTGACTGGCTGTGAAGTGCTGCCCAGATTAATGAGGGATCAGTAGCCAGTGCAATGCAGAGCTATTAGCATTGCAAACAAAGAAAAAAAAAAAAAAAAAAAAAAAAAAAAAAGGAAAAAAAAAAAAAAAAAAAAAAAGGAAGAAAAATAAAAGAGAGAGGAGAGGAGAGAGAAATTTGAAAAAAAAGCCCTTGAGCCCAGTAATTCAGAAGACAGCTTGCTGAGGACATCGTGGGCTGGGATCCCATTCCCTGCCATGGTCACATACCCCCACATTCCTGCTTGGAAAGATTATAGAGCTGCTGAGTGCCCACCCACAGTCCCAAGCATGATGAGCACATGGGCCAGTGCCACATTGATGGGATGGAGACAGACTCTTGGGACAGGCTGAGGGGAGGACTGCCTGCCACTTAGCTTTCCCCCTGTCCATGCTGGTTCCCCCTGCACAGGCTGGAGGCCCAGGGACATCCACAGCAGCCATACACACTCCAACACCTGGGCCTGCCCTCCTTCCAGTCCGTGCCTGCAGACGCTGTCCCTGTCTCACAGTGCTCCGCCCAGCAGGACTTAGGGAAGCCATTATCCCCTCTGAGCTCCCCTCATCCTGCTCCCATGGCCCTCAGCCCACCCTGCCAGGGTGCCCTGGCAGTAAAAAAGGTCACTGTGCTTTGTTCCCACCCAGGCTCTGCTCCTGGTCCAGTGTGACCAGGTAGCAGGTACTTGTGCCCAGGGTGATGCATGGGCAGGTCTGAAGCCCAGATGGCCTTTGGGAGGGGATGGGGAACGGAGGCAGGGAAGAAAACCCCACCCTCCTCTGCCCTGACAGGTGGGCTGGGGGCTGCTGGGTGTTGAAAGGAGGTGCAGGGGGAAAAGGAGGGGTCAGATGCCTCCTTTTCTGCATCCCACATGAAAATGTGTTTTTCCTGGCTCCCATGTGGCGGCAGTGGCTCTGTTTGCCATTCCTTGACACCTCCTGCTTTCCAGTGCAGCTTCTGGAGTGGGAAGGGAGTGTTCCACTGGCAATATGGGGATGAGGACTGTCACCCCTCTCTCCCAAGGAAGGGATGCACTGTCTCTGTGTGTGACAGGACAGTGACCATGCACCTGTCCCAGGTGCTGTATCAAGCTTAGATGAGTCTGTCTTCCCCAAAATAAAAGAAGCACCATCTCTGAGTATCATAAGGTGAAGCTGGTGTGCTCACACAGCCTTTGCTACCCACAGCACTCATGGGAAGAAACCCCTTCTAAGAGCACAACCTGGAACTGCCAAACATCTGGCATCCTCACAGCCTTCTCCCCTGGATGCTACTTGAGTTATACAGGATGATGGGGGATAGGGATGGGACATGCAGTGAGCTCTATTACACAGCCACTTTTCCCACAGCAAGGGCCAGATCCTGCCACTGGGCTGCTATGAGCTTTGCAGGGACTCAGCCACACAAACAGCTGCTGTTTCAGGTGCCTTCAGTCCCTGCAAGTGCAGGGGGATCCCAGCAGGACTTCCACCTGTCCTGGGGAACAAGATAAACCAAAAGCAGGAGTAATCCCCAAGCAAACTGCCCTGTCACTGAGAAGTTCAGGAGGGTCACTGCAAATGGCCAGTGCAGCTTGAGAAAACATGTTGCCATGTGGAAAAGAAATGTTTTGCTTTTTCCCTTGCTTGGAGAGCCAACATGTCTGACAGTGATGACTAACAAAGGTACCTCCAGATATCGCCTCCTTCTGCAGAGCTGCAAGAATCAGTCAGTATAATCCCAGACAAAACTTTCTACCTGGACTCTGGGATAATTGAAGGTTGGGGAAAATGAATGACCCCCTCTTATTCACTGCCAGCTGGGTAGTGGAAGGCCCACTTTTGCAGGGTCTGAGCTGTGCTCTCTGCTGTCACCCCCTCCTGGAAAGGCTGCTGTGGTGCTGCACAGAGCCCAGCCCTGCTGTGGGTTTGGGAGGATGAGCTATCACAGGGCTCCTCTGCAGCCTGGGCTCTGCCACACCAGATGCAGCTGAACAGATCCCTTCTGGCTCAAAATAAAGACCATCTTTGAAAGCGGGGGCTATTACAGGAAAACAAATTAACAGGAAACTTTCTCCAGATGTGCTGGCCCCCTCCTGCCAAGTGACAACTGTCAGAAGTCACTTTTGCTTGTGGCCCTGGGGAAGATGGGATCAGGAATGCTGAGGGCACTCAGCAACAGCTCTAACCCGG